TGACTTTTCAAACCAAGATGTTACTGAAGGTGAACAAAGTATCTCAGGCCTTGAAACCAAGGTTCCCCAGCAGGTTATCTGGAAATAACTCACATATGCAACTCCCTTACCATTCAGTTCTTAGCAGCTTAATTTTAACAGGTCAATTCCATGACCTGACTTCACCACAAAGCCCCTAACCACGTTCATTAATTTCAGAAAGTGGTGAAATTCCGATTTCTATCCATATTTTGAAAACAGAGATTTCCTGGAAGGCAAAGTTTTTCCCAGCAATAAGCCTTCCCCCAGAAATCACAGCTTTTTCATGTTTCATAAATGGTTTAATTTTGCCTGTGCACTTTTTAAGCCCTTATGCCTGTTTTGAGTAGGGTTTTCATGAACCTAAGCATGGAGGATTTATCAACCCTGGACCCTGCTGGGCCAGGGCTGGTCAGAGCTTGATTTGTAATACAGAAATACCCAAAATTCACCCAAGACTATGAGCATCAAGCTGAGGAATTCAAAGGACAAGCATCTGAAGCCAAAAATTCCCAACACTCTGCCTTGAGGACACAGAAGTTTAATACAGATGGCATGAAAAAGGAATAAGGGTCTGTTAGAAAAGATACTGTAAAATAAGTTATTTATCCCATACTATAAATCATGTGAGCTGCAGGGTCATGCCCCAGGTATAATTTTGAGAGAAGGAAAATTCTAAAATCATAATGCATTAGTGTGCTTTGGATGAAGCCATCTAGTCTGGGAGTGTAAAGCTGCATGTAAGCAGGAGTCTTGAACCTCTCTTTATGCCTAGATCTGTCATATCTTCTGATAATTTTTTAAGCTAAAAAGACAGGCATTTTCATGTGAATGGAAAGAAAACGCCACTTTGATTTCCACAGAGAGGAAGGCAGGAGGCAACCAAGAGCAAGAGAAACACAACAGTGTACTAAACCATAAAAGCAGAGGAAATCAGTGAAAACAAGGTGGAGGTACACTGCTTAGCAGGATTTCTGACATGCCAGACAAATAAATAAATTGCTGCACTTGCTTTGAACGCAGTTCTCCTACATATGGGCATGTTGAATCCACAGAAAAGGAGGTGAAGGGGCCACAGTATATGTAAAGAAATATTTATAGTGACTATTTTGATCTAGATATTTAAAGAAAGAAACATAGGAAGAATTGCCATATGCTTTAATGGCAGAAACTCCTGGCATTTAGCAAAACACAGCTCCAAGATGCACAGTGGTGGAATTGTAAGTTGTCCACTGCCAAGATTAAAAACATTAAAATGGAAGGGAAAGTGATCAAAAAAGTCACTTGTGCAAATGCTTACATATTTCTGCAATTCTCCACCCATGCTGATCATGGGAGATTTTAACAATACAGATTTGCACTGAGTAATGTAAACATCCTGACCCTGATGAAAGTGCCTGCAAGAGAATGCTGTGAGCCACAAAATTAAAAAAACAGAACAAAACAAAACAAAAAACCAAAGAAACAAAAAACAAACAAACAAACAAAAAACCCAAACCAAACCAAAACAAAAAAACCACGAACCAAAAAACCCTCCAACGACAGGAGAAACTGTCTTGGAAACAGTATTTTATTTATGGATACTCCAAGACTAAGGAAAGTTGTAATGAACATGATCATAATTGATTGAATTCAACACAGGAGCAAGAAATTGCTTCAGAGGGTGGGAGAGCAGAAGGAGATGCAGCTGCATCAAGGAAATTCTGGGGCCTTAGAAATCTGGGAATATGGAATTAAAATAGGCTAAATTTTACATTCAGAAGATGGGAAAAGGTGCTTTCTTCCCATTCTGTGTTTGCTAAACATCTGCGGGCGTATTCTGTAAATACCAGATGTTTGTTGAAGTGTCTCTTAGCAGGCTGATAAGCTCATTCCAGAATGGCTGAATATGTTTTGAGGCTGTCAGTGCTCTCACACTCCACTTTACCCTGATTTTGCCTCGTCCTCATTTCTGCTTTAAATGAGAAGCAGCTGGTTTAAATACCATTTATGCCTGAATTGCTAAAATCAGCCATAGCTAATAGGAGAGAAAAAGAAAGAGAGAGAGAGAGAGGGAGAGAGAAAAGAGGAAAAGAAAAGAAAAGAAAAGAAAAGAAAAGAAAAGAAAAGAAAAGAAAAGAAAAGAAAAGAAAAGAAAAGAAAAGAAAAGAAAAGAAAAGAAGAAACTGCATACAAACCAATCTGAATCTCATCCATGCCAGAAACAGACTCAGAGGATGGTCAAGGTGGTCCAAATATGGTTAAAATCTCATTTTAGTGTAATTTTTGTACTCAGTTTCAACCCTTTCCTTCTCAGGCCAGCTGAGACTAGCGGCACTAGTTATTCCAGAGGCTTTTGGGACTGCTCAGAAGGATTTGAGATGGGTGTCACACAAGGATCCCAGGATTTGGGTGCAGCACAACAGTTGTCTCACAACTGAAAAGTGCCACACATGAGATAAAATGGAAGGGAGTTATTTAGGGGGTTGGCTAAGAGGAATTAATTCTGGTGAAATCAAATGGTGGAATTAAATAAGAGGGAAAACCTAGGTGGAGGTGTAGGAAAAAGAGCCTGGCACAAAGTACAGGAGGCTGATGAGCAACATGACAAATCCTTGTTGCACAGCAGTGATATTTGGGCTATAAAAAACTAGATAAATTATTATAAATGCATCCTGTAAAACAGCTTGTATGATGCAATTTTGCAGGTTTTTTTAAATTCTACATCAAGGATATTTTACATATTCTGTGATGTGACTCAGGAATCTTTGAGCGTTGTGAGGTAATTCTGAGACAGCAGTCAGTAATTTACGTAATTAGCATAACAGTATTTAATTATATGATTACTGTAAATATGTGCAAAACTTTGATGGTGTAATTAGAATGTGTAATAACTACTTGTAATTACGTAATTAAGTGTGATGACATAACCAAACTTTTAATGGGGAAAAAAGAAAGTATTTTCAAGCCCAGCTATAGAAAATGGTATACTGCAAGTTATAGAGATGGTAAACTATTTATATTTATGTTTACATTACTATATATATACACATATATATTTATATTTACATCAGTAGAAATTCTTCAAAATAAGACCCAGAAAGACAGAGTGTGGATAACATATTTTGCAACAGAGCAGCAGAGTTCTTTCACTATTTCAATAAACTGGAAAGCTTCAATTTTTTTGTACATATATACTTTCTCTTATATGCTCTCAAAACCACAAATGTGTGTTTGTGCTTATAGATACACACACATAAAACTTAATTCAGTTTAATATATGAGATATGCAACTTCACACACAAAGTTATTTTTGTATATTGCTACATATACATCTATCTGAAAAAAAAAGGAATATAAAATAACAGATGATGGTTCAGGAAATGCAATGATCACTTAAGTAATAGCTCTGACTACCCCATTCCCAGCAAAACAGGAGATTGGGTTGATGTGATCTATTATCTGAGCAGTGCTCATGATGCAGCCAAAATAGAGAAGGGATAAACTCTGAAGAGATGGGTGAGATTCCTGGTAGAATTCCAAATGGCAATTCAATTTTACCTAATAAGGAAATGCATAAATTGCTTCACCAGCAAGTTCTGAAAAACACTTTAATAGCTTTGGTTGTTTTTTTTTTTAATAAATTCTTTCAGGCAGCCACAGAGACCTGTGGCTTTCTCAAAGCAAATCTTCATCTTTTATTCCTCTCTAGAACTACATACACATTATGTTGCGTGCCTCAAATATTTTTTCTGCTGTGTATAAATCTGGGAATTCAGTGAAGCCACTTTCAAATAAACATTTGTTGTTATTGGTCCATCCTGTTTCCCATTGTCATTCTCCCCCATACATCCACAATGTAAATGCAGGAAAAAGAGTAATATTTTTCAGCTCTGCTATGTTTTCAGCTTTTGTTATGATATTTGATATTTTTCAGCTTTTGTTATGTTTTCATTTATTTATGATTCAACTTGTAACACCTTTTTTTCTTTTTTTTTTGCTACATGAAGTAGGATTTTCCTTGCACTAGAAGCTCCTTTTCTTCAATGTGGATTAGCCCAGTATTTCAGGTATTCTGAATGTAAAACCCAAACCCAACTAAAGCCAACTGTCAAATACTTTCCTATTTCTTTTTATGGCAAGATACATTGGAACTATATTAGCTTTACCCACAACACCATAATTTTAACATATTTTGTTTGACTAAAACACCCAGGCTCTCATTTAAAACCCAACAACCTCTAATACCTAAATATTAAGGTACATTGCAATTTGTGCCAAAGTAGTTTATTCTATTTTTGTCATTTTTGGTCTTCAGGATTACCTAGTCTATCAGACATGAAGAACTTTAGGAATCAGACCTTTATGGTGCATCAATAGTCAATGCTATTGAAAAAATCATGTGAAGTTTTTCCCAGGACAAATCCATTAATGATTGTTCATTCTATTAATGACTTCCCCACAAAGCAGTGGTTCAGATATCAGGGGCTAGAGACATATCAGAGCAAATAACAGATATTTTTGCCCCTTTCCTACACTTGTTGATTTCTGCCAATAACATTGCTGAGGGCAGGATTTTTGATGAGATGAAACCTCAGCCTGAATAGTATTTTTTGGGCTTTTTTCTAGATTACACTATTTTACTTGTTGTTTAACAATAGATACGTATTATACATTTTACAAATGTTTCCATCATTTCAGATGCTTTACTTGAATGTGTGACCGATTGGGTCTCTGAAATTCCCTTAGTTTTGAAGGGAATAAGTTGGCTATTTTGAGGTTTCTTTTTATATATATATATATATATATATATATATATATATATATATATAAAATACTTCTGTAAAGAAGTATTTTCACAGTAAATTAAAGTGTTTTGGTTTTATTTTCCCCGTAAAAATAGAATCTTATATATTATATTGTATTATATTATATTATATTATATTATATTATATTATATTATATTATAAAAATATAATGATTTTAAACCATGCTGTACTTACTCTGTTGGCAGTTCCTTCCCATAAATTCACCTGGACATTCACAGGAATAGTTGGCCACAAGATCTGTGCAGATTCCACCATTCCTGCAGGGTTCAGCTTCACATTCATTCACATCTGCAGGAATCACACAAAAGGATGCCATGATTAGGAGAGAAATGGTAAAAGCAATATGCACATGTTTAAAAAGAATTTTAAAAAAAGAAGAAAAAATGAGAAGTTTTATTCTGTCCTGTAGTGCAATATAATTCAAAGTCTTGCTCAATGATTTCCACTGTAACTTCCAGATGATATCAGGGCCAAAAGTTTGGCCTGAAAAAAACCGAAAAAACCCCAAATTGTAGTAGTTCTAATGGAGCACTCAGTAGAGATTCCTGCCACTTCAAGGAAAGTAGTTACTTCTTTATCAACAGATGCCAGTTAAGGATGCGTCTCAGTTCATCTCAAATTCATTAAACATCTAATTGACAAGGCTGTTTAACCATCTAAAAAAACTCCCTTTCTGTGAATGAGTTAGTGGGCAAATTGAAGGTAATAACTCCATCAAGAAGCCAGCAAATTGCATTAAATTCAAAAGACAGAAAAGGTGGGTAATCTCACTTGAGTTCCTCTTTTTTAGTGCACTTAGTCAAACTCTGCAACAATAAAACTCCCCTGTGTTTTTCAATGTAGCAACCTTAAGTGTAATACCAGATTCCTTTTCTCAAGTGTGACATAGAATTTTTCAGTCAACATTATATAGGCATGGGGATTATATTGATGCATCATAATTAAAGTTCTCAGTCTCCACATTTATATTTATTCTGCAGTGACTGGAAATGCTGTATAGTTTTTTATACGCCATTTTAAAAGGACTGCACCTTTGAAGTTAAATATTTTAAAAAGGATACAGGATGTAGTAAATATGGTAGAAAACATGGTAGATAATAGGGGAAATCACTGGGAATTGAAGTCATGCTCCTTGCTGTTGTATTGAATCTGCTTCTGCCCCCAAAATGCCTTTGTTTCTTTGGTTGGAGATTTTTGGATTTTTTGGGGGGTTTTTTTTGGTTTTTTTTGGTTTTTTTTTTTGCTTTTGCTGGCATCTACTAACTAAAGAAAATGCTTCAAAAATGTCTAGATCTTATGCAACACAGCTTTGCTCAGGAGAAGCAGAATTCAGTTCTGTCAACAAAGTTTCTTGAGATTTGGTAGTTTGAGTATGTGACTTCTGTACTTTCAACTTGATTTTTTATTTTTTTAATTTTCCAGGAATCTGTATTCAAAAAATCAGTGTTTTATACAGTGAATAGGATAATCTTCCCATTGCTGTGAAGAGAAATGCAGAGACAGGTTTTCAGTGAAATACGAAGGTTTTTGGATTTTTATGCTAAAATTAATGGTGGCAATGGATCCCTGGGCCTCTTTTTAACCCCTCATGTTTTTCTATTTCTCGCTTTTAAAGATATTACATACTGGCAATAATAAAACTTTAGAGCTAGCTGAATTTTTTCTATTAAAGTTGAGCAAGAGGAGTAACAGCTTAGAGTTCAAGAAATAATACTTGCCAAGGGAAATGACCAAAGAGCAGACCTGCTCAGTTCTAAATTAAATTCTTTATATGTATTTATAAAATTTAACAAGGTTCTTCAGCTCCCTATTTGCCTTTTTAAGCAAAGCCCATTAACCTTACACTTTTATCAGGTTATTTATCATTTTAATACAGGCTAACACATTTGTGGGGTAAAAAAAACCAAGGTCACTGTGAACTAAAAAACATTAAGTGAACATATGAACTATCTCCCACTATGCAGGTGGTAATTTATCCTCTTAAAAGCTTTTCTGTGTAAAGACAGTATCTTCTCAAGATTTTTTTTTTCCTATTTTACCATTCTTCTTGAAATAGGAGGATAAAATGCATAGCTTTCCAGAATATTCCATATTGTCTGTGTGGTGATGGAGAAATATAAACTGAGCTTGGAGCACCACATCCTTTTAAAGCAATCCTCATATTCCATCCTCATGGAGCAATTAGCAAGGATCAGAGCAGAAAGATGGAAGTCGTTAATTATTATCTTTGTTACTTGGCCTCTGCAATGATTTTTTCCACTAATTTCAGAAACTTGAGTCCCATCAGTTCAAACAAATGTGTCATATTTGATGAAAGAATGAGGTAAGGCTGGTCATTGCATCATGTCTGACATGCTCAGTTGAAAAGAAAATCAACTAAACCCTGTTAAAGAATAAAAAAAACATTCTTTAACACGTGTTGAATAATAACTTCTACAGAATTACATATTTTCCCACTATTATTTCATTTCACTGAATATGCAGATGAAGAATATTTAAGTAAGGGTGGTTCCTATGAATTGTGGTGAGTTTATGTTCAAATTCCCAGATGTGCCAATTCTGATAACACACTTTACACCAGCTGGTGTGTTCCTTCCCTCTGGAAAACACAAACTTTGTTATGTCACTATGACAAGAAGTAAATTGCATCAGAAATTTCAAAATACCAGAGTTTCTTGAGAAGTTGCTCCTACAGACAATAAAGACTCATGCAGAAAACTCTCTTTCTGTTATCAGATTCTAATTCTTCACCAGCCACATAATCTACCTACATAAGAAGGATAAAGGTTTTCTTTTTAAGTAAATTAATAATGCACCGTAAAAATCACTACAGGATGCTCATAGTTTTTCGGGTAAGGTTAGGTCTTAGCCTCAAGGCAGATCCTTTTGCTTTGCACTAAATAAAATGCAGAGACCTGGGTGCTGCCAGAGAAATCTGAGTTCCTCACAGAGGGAGGTGGTGGGACTGATAAACACTGAGTGAAAAGGACTCATCAAAAGACAGAGGGAAGGTCTGGATCTCTAGATAGTGTTCAGTTAGATAAAAAACAACAAACAAACAAGCAACAATAAAGGAAATGAAAGAAAACCAAGAGGAACTGCAATACCCAACAAACTAAAGAAAGCAAAGGAGAACAAAAACATCCCCAACCCAAACAAAATGAGGCAAAAAACCCAAACAAAACCACTCCGAAACCCCCAGCCTCAAAAAACCCAAGTGCCCAACCTCTCATGATTTCTCTGCTGAAGAGGGATTCTGAAATTCAGGATGATGCAGGAACAGGAAAACTGAAGTTTTCTGAAAACAGATTGTTCCTTGAAAGAAATAGCTTGAAGGGCTGAGAGAGTTGATTAGGAAGTAAAGCCTATGCTAAGGTTTCTTTTTATGCCGTAGATGATTAAATTTAAATTTCCTATCTCCTAATATCAATCCATAATCACAAAGCTATTAAGCAGACTTCTGTTTGAAGCACAGTTGTGTTGCACCCCAGAACAAAACTAGGAAAGTAGTAGAGAGCTTGGCTATGTCACATAGTGACTTGGAAAACCATCAAGGGGCAGATTTCTGTGGTTTTTTTCTTCCTTTGATGGATTTTATATATATACATAGACTTATTTAATCCTCTAAGTATTTAATAAAACATTAATAAAACTACTACTTGCAAATGCAATATTATTAAAAATACCTAGCCCTCATTTTGGGTTTTGCCTGTTAAATACAGTCACACATATTTTCCTGAAAAATCACCCCCCAGGAAATGGGCATTTAAATTATGCAGCTGTCATAATTAAAAATTTAACTCTTACATAAAGCCCTTTGAATCCTTCAGCAAGCTACTTGGTACAAACCTGACTTTTTTTTTCTGAAGGAGGGACCAATAAGCTCAATTTATCTGCATCTTTTTTGGCCAACACACCTTGTGCTTTGCCTGTGAGTTCACACCAGTGTCTTGTTCCTGTCCCCTGCCTGTTTGTTCTTTTCACAGCCCAAATTCCTGGTTCCTGCCACCTGAGCCCTTGTTTCTGGTCCAGGACTGCCTTTTGCCATGCAGGCTTCCTGAAGCTCTCTCCTGCTGACCAGAACATTCCTTCCTTATATTTTGGTTTTGTTCTCATTTTGGCTTCTGGATCACACTCAGGCTGCTCATCTCAACCTTAAGTCATGTTTTAAAATCAGTCTTCTGTCATGATTAAGTGGTTGGCCAACCGCAGAAACAGCATTTTTGTTCAAGAGTCTTCACTGGAAGCCAACATGGCCTTTATTAGGAGAATTGATCCAACAAAATCCATTTATCCTTTATAAATGCTGCAAATATTTTTCTTTCCCATAACAAAGTCAATTTAGGATACCATTTAGTACAATTTAGGAACAAAAAAATGATCTAGCTATATCTGTTTCATAATTGGCTTCTGTGAAGACCCACAGCCATACATTGGGTAAAGAGCAACTCCCAATGTGAGTAACTTCACACTCCCTCCTGTGCCCCAGGTTTCAATTTTTTCAAAGAAAACCCAAAATATTTCCCTACACATTTGTACTTCAAAATAAAACTGTTACATAGCTGACAATGTGCTCAAATATCTTTACTTTTGGAAGCTGGTATGACATAATGTGGACAAAAAGATAATATGGAATAATTATCTTAAAGTTTTAATATCTTTAATTATATTTCTTTGGGGTTTAAGTAAAGCTTTTCTTGTAGTTGCTTGATGGTTCTTTATAGATTTTAAAAATGCATTCTAGGTGTCTTTTCTTTATTATATATTGATCCTGAATGATTAAATTACACAGGTCAAAACCACATCACTAAGTTCACACAAAATGTATTATCTTGCTTGCAGAATTTTGCAGTACCTTGTTATCATTCAAGCTTGATCTTTCAGATATTCAAACTTTTTATTATTAATTTCCTAATATCATGAAACTCAGCTTATACACTCTTATTTTTTATTTGCACCAAATATTTTATTGCTCAAGCACCAAATATTTTTAAGAAATACTGAATGGCAGAACTCCATTGAAAAGAATGAAATTATACTGGTTTTATTTGGCAAATAATCTGTCTCATAAGAAACTGAAATTTAATAAAATTATCTTAACAGTGAGCTACTCAGTGATATGATAAAATTTGAAGGATTGCAGCAATTCACATATAGAAATACACATCTTCTTTAAGAGTAGAACATTTTTGTTAAAATGTTAACAAAAAAAAAAAAAAACCCAAATCAAAACATTCTTCCTCATATTCATACCATTTATAAAAACAAGCCTAAACTGTAAAGGTCTC